ATTGGGAGAGGAGGAAGGGTTGATTGAGTTCAACAAATGTACTATCATGCAACCCATGCGTTGTGAATTTAAACACAGCTAATTCAAGAACTAGAAATGGGTAAGATTTGTCAAACCAAATAAAATGTAGTCAAGACTTCTGTTTGGCACATATTCATAGAGGAGTATCTTTTCTTCTCTTTCCAAGCAAAATCCCAATAGTCTCACTAGATTCCTGTGTTGAAGCTTGGCTACCAATACAACCTCATTCTTAAATTCTTTTGCACCTTGCCCCGAGCTTCTAGAGAGTCTCTTCACTGCTACCTCTTCGCCCCTAGGAAGGGTACCCTGAGTGTAAAATAATCAATGAATTAATTTTATGAATTTAGACAAATAAAATGATCATCGTCGGCATACTTTATAGAAGTACAGTAACTCCTTTGTTACCTTGTAAACATTACCAAATCCACCTTCACCAAGTTTGTTTTCACTGGAGAAGCTCTTCGTGGCAACTTGAATTGTAGTCAAATCATATTGCAATGATTCAACTGTTGTGATATCATTTGTTTCTACACCAACAAATGTATGGAAATTCATTAATGCAATCATTGAAGTAGCAAATGGTTCAAGCAAGAGCAGAAATGAACTTCTTTATTCTTTTCCTTTTTGTTTTTCATCTTATTTCCTTTTCTTTTACCAGTTTCTTCCATGACGGTGTTGTAGTTCTTCTTCTTTGCTTTCCTGACGAGGAAACAGAAGCCTATGATGATCAGCAACAAGGAGACAACAATTGGAACAACAATGACAACAATTATCTGTGATGAGATCCCACTTTTCCCTGCATGAACAGCATTTGTTTCATTCAAATACTCTGCCTAATATAAAGATATGTGTTTCTTTGAAAATCAAAATTATAGCCTATAGTCCAGCGACAAGCAACAAATGGCACATTTCAGGAAATGATATAAACTAAAATTATGACTAAGATTTAGAAATCCATGATGACGGCTACAATACAGCAAGCATTTTCAAAGAGAACAAAGGCTGAACCGCTCACGCACAGACTCAAACAAAATTCCAATGCTAGGACAATGCAAGTTTTGCAGTCAAAATCAGGTATTAGTAATGTTTTGTCAGGCTGATTTTTAAGCTCAATCGGGGACACCTGATGAAGGTAGCTACGGGCACAAGCAGAACCTAACAAGCAACCCACAGGGTGGACTCGGAACCCTTGTTATGTGACTAATGCTCATAATCCGACATGAGCATTATTAAGCATAGGAAACGCCAGAGAAAAAAATGACATGAAACCTTGTACTCAAAGGCATACAAGTGCACAAGACTCGCTCTATTGTTGGGTGTGGAGGGGGTCAAATTTTGCAAAATCCTACCACAATGCATGCCAAAAAAGAAAGATCTATTTCCATGACTCGTATTGCACCTTACTCCTACACCAAGACCGGCTACTGAAAATTGATTAGTGAATGTCTATGCTTCTGAATGGTTGAGTAAAGGAAAAATTCCATCCACACCTTTTGTAGTTAACTTTAAATTCAATGACCCTCTCCCTCGATTCTAAAATTTCAATGCACACCTTCTGATTTATACTTTCAAATCAATGACATCCCCTTAACGGTAACTTTTACCTCTATCAGTTGATAAAATAATGATTTGACTAAATATTTTGTAAAAATACCAAAATTACCCTTTGTTATGTAAATAGACTAAAATGCCTACAATCATTTCCCCATTACACATGCCCTAACCAGCCAGCAAGCATGATTTCTATTTTAATTTAAATCATTATATTATCCTGATTTGAAATTTGTCTAAATACATCAAATTACCCTTTATTATGCAAATGAATTTTTCATAATATAATGAATTCAATACAAAATAGAAATATTTTGCAAAATCAGGAGCTATACCATGAAGTGAATGTAGATATATTTTGCATAAACATAATGCATGTCTATTCAACATGAATTTTTCAGTAATAGGAAAATATTACCATGAAGTGAATGGTACCATGTCTATTGAAATTTGTAAAATCACACAGACCGAAAGATAGGATTTTACACAAAGTGTCAAATGGTAATAAGGCAAATTTCAAAGCAGAAATTTTGAAATTTCTGATTCAGTTCTGGTAGCTTTGCAAATTAATGATTATTGTCCACATCTTTTAGGGCTATTGTATTTTATCATAATCGATCTTTAATATTATAACAAAGGTACAATAGATAAAGTCATTAATTTGCATGTTTTCAATGCAATAGATGTTTAGTTGGGTCACTCGATTATGAGGTATCTATTGTACACATGCAATAGCCCTTTATTACTCGTTTTCATATTTCAATTTGGTCCAAAGATTTATTACTAACTAATATTATAACAAAGTTATCATGCAAAAATTACATAATGGAGTTTCAATAGATAAAGTCAATGTCAAAATCCCATCAATTTTTAACTACTCTGTTATCGTTTGTCCACCACAACGTCACCCGACTACTCTTCTTCATATATCACCCTTTATATATAAATTAAATATTATGTAATAAAATTTAATATTAATTAAATAAATTTGATCTTAATTTGATAAATTTAAATATCAATTTGGTGTTAATTTGATAAAATTTAATGTTAATTGAATAAATTTAAATATTTTTTTAATAAAATAAATTTGATATGGTTAAATATTAAATTAATGAATCTAAAGACTAATATAATAAAACTAAAAAAGAGTGCATTGAACTTTCGAAATCCGAAGGAGATGTTGTTAAAATTAAGTCTATTTACAGGAATATTGGTAAAATTAGGTTTATTTACCGGGGATTAACCCGATAAGCACTTAATGGGGGTGACATTAAAGTTTTCAAAATCAGGAGAGAATGTTATCGAATTTAGACCTAATTATAAGGGGTGTAAATGAAATTTTCCCTTGAACAAATTATGGGTATAACACACTGGTTATTAAGCCGATTTTTTTCAGTACTCTCCACCACCTACATCAGACACACAACATGATCCAACCAAATAAGGCTCTGATTTACTATCCAATCATGACCAGACTCAGAGATATTAAAATTTAGATAGACATATATATACTTGAACATACGAAACCTGGGCAAAAATAGAATTCCACCTTGGTAAAAAGTTCACATCCCATTCTGGAATTTCATTTTTGTCCTATAACTTAAAGGACTTGGGTAATGTAAGACAGATAACAGCTTCTGGAGCTTACCTTCACTGTTTGGAGAACTGGGCGGAGCAGGAGGAGTTACAGCTTGGAAGAAGCCGTACATCTCATACCTAATATTACAACTTGGAAACAGAACCCTCGCCCCTTGCTTTATTGGGAGACGTGAGATTCCATATCGAAGGCAAGTATTGCATTGAGAATTGTTCAGATCAGGTGTGCATTGCCCAAGTCCAAAAATATTTTGTTGCTGTGCAGTAAAGTTGGCTTCTCCGGTCGCAAACTTCTTCCCCGATTGATCATTCGAAGCTTGAGTGGCTATGTCACCCATCAAAGTCCACAACGTCTTATTAAACATTTCTTGATTTGTAACATTCTGAGGATTACTTAAAATTAAAACCACTGACATATCCGGAATGGAGAAGATAGATTCGTTGGAGTAACGCATCAAACAGTTGTCGTACCAAATCGTTGATCGCCTCTCGATTGGGCATGTCCCGAGAATTTCGGTACTAGCACCCGCCACACACTCTCGACAATCATCTACAGTGACCTCTCCGCGGCAGAGGAAGAGGCCGTAGGCTATGTCAGGTGGGTTTCGACCGGAAGTGAAGTTGTAAAACCCGGTGTCGCCGGTGCCGTTAGAAGTGAGATTGGAGAGGAGAGAGTTCAGGTTGGCTGCGTATGAGCTGTTCGTAGTGTAAGTAGTTGTGTTTGGGCAGTTATGGCCGAGAGGTAAATGGGAGAGAACTTTTTGGATGAGGGTAAAGTAGCAAAACATGCATAGAAAAAGAAGATTATCAGAGAAGTTGAAGGAAGACATTGTTATGGTGATCAAGCTTTTCTTTTGAGTTTCTGGGCATGTCCAGGTACTTGATATATGACTGGTGATGATGTTGAAGTCTCTGTCATGGCGAGGAAGATGTCATAGGGGAAGTCAAAGAAGCTTCAATTGTTTGACGGCGTCAAATGTGTTGGGTTCAATTGTTTGATTAGTAGTGTTAAATGGGTCGGTTAAATAGTTATATGTTGGATTAAATGGATCGGTTAAAAAATATGTAAATTTGTACACGATTCGTTTAACCAGTTTAATTTTTAAAAAAAATTATATCAACAAATTTTAATACACTATTTTTTTTCTTCCAATTGTATTTATCTTAAAAAAAAGAATTTTTTTAACCAAATTTCACATAAAAATCAGACATCAAGGTTAAAAAAAAAAAAAAATAAGAGATCACTGTCTTTTATAGGTAAGACAATTCTCCCCATATCCTTTCATTTGCCGATGTATGACAAAAACAAAAAAGGTTGTTTTGGCTTTATCAAAAGTTGCTCTCCATCTCTCCTCATTCGTATTTAAACTACTACTTTATTTTATTTTTTTGTATTAATTTTTNTGACAAAAACAAAAAAAGTTGTTTTGGCTTTATCAAAAATTGCTCTCCATCTCTCCTCATTTGTATTTAAACTACTACTTTATTTTATTCTTTTGTATTAATTTTTGTATTTTTTTTTTTGGCTAATTTTTTAAAATAATTATTAATTTATTATTATATTAATTTTATTTACAAAAATAAATATGTGATAAACAGTTTAACAAATTTTATCCGAACACGACTTATTTATTAAACAGATATAACGAATTAATTTATTTACCATCCAAATCTATTAATATCTCACTGAAATGTCAATTAATTATATTTATGTCAGATTTTGACACAATAGAATTCTTTGGAAAATAGTTGCAAAAAAGCAGGAGTAAGATTAGGACAATAGTATTGAACTTTCCACTGCCTCCACTAAAGGAGGATAAGCTTGATTTTGACAGAATAGAATTCTTTGGAAAATAGTTGCAAAAAAGCAGGAGTAAGATTAGGACAATAATATTGAACTTTCCACAGCCTCCACTAAAGGAGGATAAGCTTGCATTTATTGTGAAGGCCTTGGGTACTGGTCTGTCTCTCACCGTAGGTGCTATTGTTGGATAAACTTGCATTTATTGTGAAGGACTTGGTGGTCTCTCTCTCACCGTAGGAACTGTTGGTTAGTGTTCACCCTCTAGAAATTATAATAGTATTTCAATTTTTTATTTTATATTTCATGAAAGAATTTTTTTTTTTTTATCTACTCTATTTGATCAAATGTATTATCCTTATTCGAATTTTATCAAAATAATCGAATAAAAAATTGAGTAAGAAATCAAGTTAATACATATTTTTTAGTTATTAATTTTTGAATTATTTTAATAATTTAATTAAATAATATATACAAATTAATTAACACAATAAGTCAATAGCACTAATAAAAATATAATAAAAATTTGATAATACATAAATTTATATAATAAAATAACTTACAATTTAAATCTCAAAAGATAAATAAAATAATTTTTATTTTTCGTGATTCAGATTGTTATAAATTTTACTTTAAAGTTAATTTAACGACTAATATTAATACCCTAAATTTAATAGGGAAAATAAAACACTAAGGATGTATTTGGATGACTTTTTAAAAATGCTTCAAGAAATTTATAATTTCTTATAACTACTTTAAACAAAAAAAATAGTGTTTGAAATCGCTTCATTACTACCTCTACCACCATTGTCGCCGTCACTGCCACCACCATTGTTGTCACCATCGTCGCCGCCGCCACCACCATCGCCACCAAAATCATCGTTGACACCACCCCCACCCCCACAACCATCCCCCAACCACCACCACTATCACCACCGCCACCACCCACCATCGCCATCACTGTCACCACCACCACCATCGCCCCACCATAACGACTACCGCCGCCGCAGTCGTTATCGTCATCGCCGCCGCCACCACCACCACCACTATTGTCGTTGTCACCGTCGCCATCACTATCGCAATTACTGCCACCACCACTACTGTAGCCGCCTCCACCTCTACCACCACCTTTACCCCCCAACCATCACCCCCACCACCATCGCCACCGTCACCACCACCACTACTTCCGCCACCGTTGCCATCACCGTCGCCACCACCGTCACCACCTCTACCATAGCCACCACGGTCATTGCCACCCCACCACAAAACCATCACCCTCTCTTACCACCACCACCACCACTGTCGCCCACCACCTCTCATCCCCACTATAACCGATGCTTAAATTAATTTATCTCTCCTCTATGTTTGTGATTTGATTTTAGATATGAATATAAATATGTTTATTGTTTACCATTTTTTATTACTTTGTGTTCTCAAATACAGGTAATATCTAGTAATTATAATAAAATACGACAAGAAAGTCTTGAATATCAATATATCATAAATAAAAAAGTCATAAATGTCAATAAAACATTAGAGTTTCTGAATGTTTTTTATTTTAATTCTTAGGAATTACACACACACACACACACACACACACACACACACACACACATATATATATATATATATATATATATATATATTTTTTTTCCATTTTTACCTATTTTGTTTTTGTAAAATACTAAAAAATCTTTCATTGGCCAAATCAATTTTTTCAAATAACTAATTAATAGAGTTGAATAAAATGCGATAACATCAGAATTTATGGATAATCGAAATTTGTAGACCCCTATTGTTTGTTGGAGAAAATATTTATTACAACAATGATACCATGTGACAAGGTAACGTGGTATCACCAACTAATAATAATAAAACAAATAAACAGATGAACCCTACAAAAATCAATAACTAACCTGTCATGTAAGCAAATACCTCCTCACTCTTCTGTCAGGTAAGTCCAAGTAGAGTTCACATTTTCCATTTAAAATTTTATTATTAGTTAATGATACTATATCATCAATAATGACATCATATCACCGTTACATTCAATTTTTACTCCTACTGTTGATGGATAAACTTGCATTTCTGTGAAGGACTTGGCTACTGGTCTCTTTCTGTCTCACTCTCACCTGTTCTTTTTATTTCTCTTCCTCCGCTTTCGCCAAACCAAACACGCCATACCTCTAATCATTTTGTTCCATAAAAAACTGATAAAAATTAGTATACCCCCGAGATAATAGGGAAAAATTATAAATTTAGATATATTAAGTTTAAATTTTAATAATTTTTTAAGGTCAAATTATAAAATATTTATTTTTTCTGAATACNTTTGTTCACATGTTCATTCTATTGTTAATACATACTGATAAGATTATAGTAGTGGAAAAAAAAATTATGATTGTCAATCTCTGATTCATTTATTTATAATTATTGATCATTAATTTAAGTTTGACATTTTAATTAGTTGGAAAAAAAGACGTATGCTACAGAGAATGACTTTTTGGTATCATAATTAAACACCGTTCATCCTGTAAATGACATCTTGACCAAGTCAAACACATGACTAAAGAAATATCCCGCAGACGAAAATCTGATGGAATTATATATACAATATTATTTGTTTTAGATTATATTTATACAATTCTAAAACATATTATATAGTGGAGGTCAAAAACTCATAATTATAAAAGAGTAATGATGAGCACAAATTTGACTGGACTAGGTCCAATGAAAATAATCCGAGAAAGCTTGAAGGAAAGTCTAAATCAAAACTGGATCGACCCATTAGAAAGAAATACATCAAGAGGTCAACGCCCAAAGCTCCAAGGCCAACGCCCAAGAGACTTGGCAGCCCTTGGGCGTCGCCTAGGCTGGCCTCTTGGGCGCCTCCCTCTTTGTTCCTCTTCGCNCCCAAAGCTCCAAGGCCAACGCCCAAGAGACTTGGCAGCCCTTGGGCGTCGCCTAGGCTGGCCTCTTGGGCGCCTCCCTCTTTGTTCCTCTTCGCCTTAGAGCTCCAATCCAAGTCCAAGTCACACCAACTCAAGACAGGTCCAGGCTCAAGATGAGAATCAAGTCCAATCCAACTAAGAGTCCTCCTCCGAAAGAATAGGAGCACGAGGGAGTAAATATCGGGATAAGCGCAGAGATCTCCAACCATAACTATACTTACCNCCAAGTCCAAGTCACACCAACTCAAGACAGGTCCAAGCTCAAGACGAGAATCAAGTCCAATCCAACTGAGAGTCCTCCTCCGAAAGAATAGGAGCATGAGGGAGTAAATATCGGGATAAGCGCAGAGATCTCCTACCATAACTATACTTATCAAAGTAGTAGAAGTCTACTCACCCACGTCACCGTCTTACCCTAACTATATAATGTAAGTCCTCTCAACATTGAGGGCATGCCTCTGAAACATCTATGCACCTTCTACACTCATTGTTCTCTTTCTCTCTGTCTCCCCAAAAGCATTGTATCTCTCCGGAGTACTATCATTCATCAATAAAGAACATAGGTCACCGTTGCCATTCCCAAAAGTGGAGTAGGTCATCCGAGACCGAACCACTATAAATTATTGTGTTGATCTATTATTTACTGTTTTACTCTTAATTGTCATTGATTGCTTGTTTGTCACTCATTAATTGCACCTTTACACATACTTGACTGTTGATCTTGCATGAAGACAGTTTTGTGCATCATCAGTTTGGTGCCGTCTGTGGGAAATCGACAAAGTTTCTACTACCTTTCAACCTTTTTGCAATCCATGGCAATCACGATTCGAGCAAGGTCTCATCAACTGGGAGACAACAACCCTGCGCACCAGGAAGAGGCTCCACCTCCCTTCGCACCTTCAGAACCCTCTGTCATGGTGCCTCCCACCATTGGACAACAACNATCGACAAAGTTTCTACTACCTTTCAACCTTTTTGCAATCCATGGCAATCACGATTCGAGCAAGGTCTCATCAACTGGGAGACAACAACCCTGCGCACCAGGAAGAGGCTCCACCTCCCCTCGCACCTTCAGAACCCTCTGTCATGGTGCCTCCCACCATTGGACAACAGCAGTAGCTTTCTATAGACTATGCAACTGCTGGTGAAACAAAACCAGAATATGATCTAGTTAATGCTCGACCAAGGGGGCATCACCCATCATCCCGCAGGAG